TGCTGACCGACCTCTTGACCGTGGGTCCACCTCACTAATCATAAGACCACCATGTCTCCACAAGAGGAGAGAGTTTATGCTGAATCGTTTCTCATAAAAAACAAACTTCACAACACCAAAGTAAAATTTTCTTATTTGATTTTTAAATAGAGATTACTGGTCAAAACTTATAAAAGATGTATTTCATTTATTCAATTTCCTACAGTTGAGCTGATGCCCATTCATGCCCATTCGTTTTTTACTGGTGTGCCTTTCCTAATTTTGGGAAGGAAAGTGAAATATTTACATTTATGCATGCTGATGTATGTTGAAATGACATTTTTGCTTTATTAGTATATGTATATTTAACTAATTGTTTTTTCAGTTATTCCATATTTACATTGTCTGTGCACAAAATTTATTTGTCTTTGATGCTAACTTTAATTCTCCTAATAATCATGACTGGTTGTTTTTTAAATATCAAATAATCTTTGCTGGCTGTCTTCATGTACAAAAAAAATTAATAAATGTGGAGTAACAAGGAAGTCAATTGAACTGGAATTCAAAATAGCCTGTAAGTGTATATCGCTTTTACAAAAACCACTACAAACTTCTATATAACCAGCTGATTGCCAGGGCTTTACAGAGGTATATTGGCCCAAGGTTGTAACAGAAAAGGAATGACATGGTGCCAATATTCCCCAGAACCCCTCAAGAGAGCAAGGTAATTGTCATGCACCAATGTCACTTGGACTAAACTAGTTTACAATGAATTTACATGTTTTATAATTTTCTGTATGGTGCAATGATGGTCTATGTGGCAAAATCCTGACCAAGTAAGAACCAATCAGAACTTTACATTTATCCCAAGACTACCTTCGCATATAACAACATAAATTATCAACAAACACATACTTGGATGCATGCAGCCTCATGCAGAACTAAACCAGTTTTGATAAAAAAAAAGACAATTGATCGGAAACATTCAGTTAATATGATTATTGATTGATCGTATGTTGATTAGCAGATGACAAAAGGTAAAACTTCACTCAGACACTAATCAATCATTACCAGTTGATGAATTGGATTCCTAAAACTCGAATGCAGTTAATTGAAAGCACTCTTGCAGTAAATAACTAGCTGAATTTGAAGAACAATTAACTTGTCTCAATATTTAACAAGGAAATCAGTATTACAGTTCAGTTTGGAAGGACAATCTAAGCTGTCTATCGAAAAGAAAAAATCACTTTCAAACTACAGTATAAAATGATAAACATAAACACATGAAATACGCTGAAAATGTTTATCGCTTTTTGATCAAATGCATCGTAAATACAGGAGCAAATTAAGTTAATACGTACATAAGCCCGACATGAAAGCTAGTGCCAAACACGATTGTGTACATGCTCCGCATGACATGCAAACGAAACTGAAAGTGTTGCGATCAAAAGGGCTTACACTGAATCAAATCGATAATTTGGATATCCTTTGTAACTCTCCCGAATTACTTATTTTGTCCAAGGTAAATGCCAGGCATTGCTTGCGAATTTTTGTGAATTCGACAGCTGTAACTTGTTCAAACAAGCTCAGCTTAATAAGCTTGTAACTAACACGAAGCGGCAATACAATTAATACACGCCAGAATAAAGTAAAAGTTGGCAATCGTCGTCACTTGACTGCAGGAACGTCTTTCATTGTCGGAAATCAGAGAAAGTTCGGAAAGATGAGGAACATTTGAAGGAGGAAATCTCAACTAAAAAAAATTTAAAATAAAAGTATTTACCTTACATTCAATAATCTGATACAACCATGCGTTCTTACCTCTGTCGCGGAAATGGAAGGCACCTTTGACTATTTTACGACCTTGCTTCCTCAGTCCGTCATGAAAACGTTTCAAAGTCACTAAGACAGAGAAAGTACTTAGAAAGACTCGAAAGCTATGTCATGGAACGGAGAATTGCAACGGCATGTTGTGAAAATGAAACAGGGAGTTCCTTGGCCCATAAATCTGTGCAAGCTTGAAGCCGGAAATTCTCCGACTGAATTTGAAAGAAGAGCCCACATATGGGCGGCTGTCATCGCCAAAAATACAAAAATAGAATTGGTTTGTAATAACAGATAGAGTCTAATTGTCTTTTGGAGAACGATTTATCTTATCCTAAGAGATTTATTTCAAATACAAATGGACAAGTCGCATTTGGTGAAATGAAATATTCAAACAAAAATTGGTTTATTCAATTGAGGAGCTGTGTAGCCACCCTTGTTGAACTGATTCGATAAAAACATGAGTGGCCAAGTGTTAACTGAAATGGTTCAGTGTCGAAATGACAAACGATTCAGCTAACTGTCCTTTGGTTCAGTAACTTGACAAAAACGGTTCAGAGTGGTGTGAAATGGCCTAGGTTATCGGCAAATGGTTAATCGTAGCCGCAATGGTTTAGTATCGCATCAATCTACTCACGGTAAAGTGAAATGGTTTAGCGTGACCCCAAATGGTTTAGCGTGACGACAAATGGTTTCCTACAAACCGAAATGGTTTCGTGTTACAGCGGTTGGTTCAGTTGGTTTACGCCGTAACCGCCAAAAATACAAAAGTGAAATGGAAAAGTCAAGCTTGAAATTGAATAGGATAAGAATCTCAAGGGCGCCTCAAAACTATAAAAACTACATAGTTTTTAGGCGCCCTTTAGTTGTAGTTTCGTCGTCTTAAAACGATGAATCGCTTTATCACGTTCCCCAGCTATGGTTCTTACTATCTAGACGGTAAATGTGCTGTCGCGTAAAATGATGCATTTTATCTGTATCTTTGTTATTCCTTTTGTTCCGAAATATCATTTACTTACTGATATTGCGGCAAGATGATGAGGGTATAAATTTATTCGCTAACAAGCTAAAATAGGCAAATGTGAAAAAGGTTATTACCGGAGTGAGGCTCTTTGAGTCCAGTGGACAAGGACGACGAGGCTACAGAAATAACGTGAACGTGGAACGTGAACGTGGTGGACGGCGTGGCGAATACCTCGTTCTGGCGAATTTCGCGCCAAATTGGATCTGAATTACGTAGGTTGTGACGTCAGACCCCACATAGACTGTTTCATTTCAAGCTTGACCTACCTATTTCCCTTTTGTATTTTTGGCGGTTACGGCGTAAACCAACTGTTGTAACCATTTCGATTTGTACGAAACCATTTGTCCTCACGCTAAAGTATTTGAGGTCACGCTAAACCATTTCACTTTGCGGTGAGGAGATTGATGCGATACTAATCCGTTGCGGCCTACGATTAACCATTTGCCGATAACTTAAGCCATTTCACACTACTCTGAACCGTTTGTGTCAAGTCACTAAAGTACAGTTAGGTGAACCGTTTCCCATTTCGACACTGAACCATTTCAGTTAACACTTGGTCACTCGTTTTTTTTCTTGAATCAGTTCAACAAGGTTGGCCACACAGCTCCTGAATTGTATAAACAGTTTTGTTTGAATATTTCATTTCACCAAAGGCGACTTGTCCATTTGTATTTTGAATAAATCTCTTAAGATAAGATCAAGCGTTCTCCAGAAGACAATTAGACTAATTACCAACCAATTATATTTTTGTATTTTTGGCGGTGACGGCCGCCCGTAGGTGTAAATTAGAAATCCTACAGCTAAACTTTTGAGAATATAACTTACTATCGAGGAAAAAAATTATGACCCAAGATGAAGAAGACTCGATAGAAATGAATAGGTTGATGTATCGGCACAAGGCGAGGGAGAGAAGAAGAACCAAAGTCACGAATGAAGGAACAAACATGAGCTGATATAGAATTGCCTTGTGACTGGGGAACTGTAGAACATTCCGAAAAGCAACAACTGAACCAGCGGTGAAAATACACAGCGAAGCCAGCCACACTATTGTAAGCTGTTCTGAAAAATGGAAAACGGCATTTTATTGCACTGATATGCGGTGGATTGGACCCTGATGTTACTAATCATGTTCGAAAGTGCCCTAACTAGTTGCCATAGCAACAACAAACTGAAGACCACTGGATAACAGGAATTTCGTTCTCTTGGCCAGATTAGTATTATTTTGGCTGATTTCCGTATCTGTGGTTGATCTATTTCGGGGCAGGCTGTCATGATGGTAAAGCCAAAACCACCTGTAGAAGAAAAAAATATAAGATAAATTGAGAGGTTGCTTGAGTCAATTTTTGTGGGGCATCTGCCGTTGGCCTTTCAGAACCCCTACCCCATCATAGTCTATTCTGTGGCTAATTATCGACCCCATCTTAGTCACTTTTGGTAATACGCGCTGGTAACGACCTTCTAACTGTGAACTTTCCGTCATTTAATCCCTACTTTCTTAGACTTGTCTTACCCCCAAAATTTCGAAAATGTGCGACCCCATGATTGTAATTAACTCTGTTGAAAATGCTATGATCAATAGTCAGTTTGGTCGTGATCGTGACCTATAACTAGGAAGCGCACCCCACTGGTATATTAGGATTTAAACCCGTTTACATGTTAAGGGAAACATCTAAGAAGTAACTAACAATTTCGCTTGAGACACGAAAAGACGAATATTATGTCATGTGCTTTTTTAACCAGAGAGATGGGGAAAGGGCTATTTACAATTGGTTAGAGCCATTTTCTCGGTCGTTCGCATAGATAGAAAGTAATAGAATTCCTAATAGTGCATTTCGATTGCGTGTCTTGAAACCAAAGCCAAAGTTAATACATCGGACAATCAGAGGAGAGGAAGTTATCTCAAAGAACAGATACGAATTCAAAGTAAAACCAAGCAAAACTGCAAAGGTCGTGGAAACACGCGAGGGTTCGAGTCGCAATTGGGTTTAGCGTTGCATCTGATTAGTTCCGAAGGGAGTGAGAGTTTAAATTTTCTGGACCAATCACAGAGCGTGGTGAAGCAAATTTCCGATTACTTTCGATAGTCAATCGAAAATTGCGCCAAATGGGATGAGAGGCCGTCACTCCTACCAATCTATACACTCTCTGTTTTACTGCTTTATCATCCATGTTATCACTGCAAAGGTGCTTGGTTAAAGCGGAGAATATTCTTATCATCAATGAAAAGTTTCTGCCAAAAGAAACTCGTCATTTTGAATCTAAAAGTGGTTGTGCCAAAGTCACGCAGAAGATCATTTATCATTTCAAAATACTCCGAGTGTTGTGCTCCCATAGACCGATGCACCTAATGAACTTGAACAGTAAGTTCTAAAATGGTGGCGAGCAAGTTCATTAGAGAGATGGCAAATAACACCAGCGCGGAAAGCTTTGACAACACAAAGATATAACTGGGATATTGACGCTTCAAAAAATTCAACTGCGTATAATTCAAAAAGCCAACAAATAAAGTTCTAAGAATATAGTTAAAAGCTAAACCCATCAATATCATCCAGGAATTGATGGATTTGGCAGATATAGCGAGCTTGATGTATCTGGTCAAGGATACAAACAAAAGAATCATCAGAGTCCAACAGGAGGGAAGAAATTTCAGCTGATGTAGGAAAGCTTTGTATCCAAGAAAATCTGGAACTTTCTGCAGTGCCAAAATGATGATGATTGTGAAAACAGAGAGTGTAGCAAGCCATGTTATCACCAGTTCTTCGGAATATGAAAACACTGCGCCTTTCTCACAAAAATAGACAGTGGAATGGTCTTTGAAACAATTTACACTACGAATCATGTACACACATGGGCCACCAACATTCCATAGTAACAGCAAGGCAAAGCCTACAGCCCACAGTTTGATGGATCTTTTGTTTTGCCTGTCTTCGTTTGGAAGAGGCAGGTAATAGCTTGAGCGGTGCAGGAGTGATGCATGCTCGTCTACGTCCACACGGGTTGTCATCGTAAAATCTTCCATAAATATTCGTTCAATCACTTCGTTGTTGAAACACAATACACTGATCTCTCCTTAAAAATTGTTGATCCTTTGATCAATATTACGAGATAAAAGAGAATCAAAGCAGAACTTTTTAGATGTACGTCGTCAGTTTCGCTTCATAGTAAATGGACATGTTGCTTTGATAGGCGCGTATTATATTCAGCACACAATTATTAAGAAGCACTTAACAGCGACGATTCAATGCTGTGTAGTTTAGGAATTTTTCATAACAGTAAGCCGTGAAGACTACAACACCATCGTACTGAATGAAAAAAAAAGTTATTGTGTAAGAGTTCTCTGTGTTAAACTGAGAAAAAAATAAAAAAGATCAGCTAATGCAAATTCCTACCTGGTCCGGTAAATAGGGCAGTCATAGCTGGGCCAGTTATTTTGCTAAAAAAAAACTAATCCTAATGTCCCAAACAAACTTATCATTTTAAAGGACGAAGACAGAAGAGCAGCGAAACAACACAAGAAGCACAACATGAGCTCTGTGCGGAAGCTAGAAATGGTTTTCAATTTTTTAAATGCCGTTTCAGGGTAAACATCACGGAACTGATCACTCAAATCATATGATTGCTTTCTAAATATTAAGTCATTATTTTAGAGAGCAAAGCCAAGGTCATTTCGTCTTTATTAGGAACATTCAGCTGTCATTGCACTTGCAAGTGTGTTTCAGAAAATTCAAAAGGCTTCATTAAAATCAAAAATAATTTTATTTTCTTACCTTGATATTACTCCAGTGTTGTGTGTTTAAGCGAAAATCTCCAGGTCTCTGCAGTTTTGGTGAAACTTTTGCAAGGGTCTGCTTAGGATCATGCGTATGACCACAAGTACTACGTTAGCAATGACCGAAAAATCAGAATGACCAGTAATCGTCCGTTGTACCTTTGCGGCTTACACCAGTCATTGCCAGGATTTGTGTCACAAAATGCGTCCCTGTTTCATGAATATAATTTCAATTGCTGACGCATTGAGAAATGAGAAATTTAAGGGACCAAAATAGCGTCCACGTTAATCATCTGACAGCAGACTTGTAGTTCAGTGAGCTGAGCTTAAAGAAAATCAATTTTGATTTCAATGCGTTCATTCGCCGTTAAGCAAATTCATAAATCTATTCAGCTGGTGTCTACAAATCTTCATTTCAGGTTTAACAGTCAAACTGTCGAACTGAACTGTCAAATCGAAATAGAAGTCAAGCTATCACACGAACGAAAACGGATTTGAAGAGAATTTTGGCAGCTCGTTGAGCCCGTTAAGAGCGCCATGTGGAAGAAAATGTTTAAACGGTTAGAGTTTTAAGTACGTGGTATCTCTGGTTTGTTGTGTTTCATTTCATCAAAAAAAATTAATGCAGAGTCTCGAGTTGACATTAGCTTTCTTATGCAAATATGATACCACTAGTAGGATTGGAATCGTTTCAAATGAAGAAAAAAAGAAACAGTTTGCTGATCTTAGCTGAACGTCACGTTAAATGTGAAAGTAGGTTACTGGCACATGTCGAATCCAGTGGCACGAATTCCTTGGTATATAGGAAGGTCTTAAGTGCTGTTATTCTATCGCGATTATTCCACCTTTGTGATAGCACAGAGGATGAGGATGGAGATTTACAACTGTGTAACTGTGTCTTGTTGAAGGGATTGCTTAGTGTATTGATTTCTTTGTATGATTGGCAAAATGGGAGTAAAATTTATTATCTAAAGTAAACGCGAATCGAATTTCCCTTATTCATAATTAATAACGATGTTCGTGAATGATTTTGTTTCAGAAATATTTCCCGCCTTTAAGAGTTTGAAATTTAAAGCCTTAATCAACTCGCCATCTCTGTGTCTTCACGTCAAACGAGTCACGACTGCACTGGAAAATGCTGCGTTTTCTTTGAACGACGCAAAGGTTTTCATCGAGTATTTAATGAACCTTGGAGAAAGGCACAAAGCATGGAAAATTTCGATGTATGTATTCTGTTATGCCGATCAAGGTTACTTAGGGGTAAATATTGTTGTATAGAGCTGTATAGTAATGTTAACTGTAGTAGCGAGAGGTATAATGCTATCTAGGGGTAGATATTGTTGTATAGCGCTGTATCGTGATGTAGAGTGCAGAAGAGTGAAGTATAGTGGTATCTAGGGGTACATACTGTTGTATAGCGCTGTATAGTGATGTAAACTGCAGTAGCGAGAAGTCTAATGCTATCTAGGGGTAGATATTGTTGTATAGCGCTGTATAGTGATGTAAACTGCAGAAGAGAGAAGTATAGTACTATTTAAGGGTACATGTTGTTTTATAGCGCTGTATTGTGATGTAGAGTGCAAAAGAGGGAAGTATAATGGTATCTAGGGGTACATATTGTTGTCTAGCGCTGTATAGTGATGTAAACTGCAGAAGAAAGAAGTATAGTACTATTTAAGGGTACATGTTGTTTTATAGCGCTGTATTGTGATGTGAATTGTGGAAGAGGGAAGTATAGTGCCATCTAGGGGTACTTGTTGCTTTTTATGATCCATCAAATATTTTTGCTCGCACGCAATTGGTGTAAACGCAGCAAGTGACTAAATATCCCCCAGCTAATACTGGGTGATATCCGAGAATATCACGCAAGCGATATTCCCCAATTCGCAAACCTTACGTCTACCTCGTTAAGTCTTCGTTTCAAATTTAATTCAATTCAGTGAGCTGTTCATAAAGATTCTTTCACGAGCGTTGCAAAATAATTGAAGGATAAAAATCACAATAGCCTCTATTTTGCACGAAAATATGTTCGGATATTTGTCCTTGGACATTGTCCCTCGAAGCTCACAGTTTTGGCATCTTGGAATAGGTAATGTCCGCGGACAAATATCCACAATTATTTTCGTGCCAAATTGGAGCAATAGTTTATAGAGCATTGTATGGTGAAAACAATTCAGTAGAGGGAAGCATAGTACTATTTAGGGGTTCATATTGTTGTGATGCGCTGCACAGTTACTTCATTTTACGGATTTACAGTGCTACTCAGGGGTATAATGTTGTATTGTGCTGTATAATTTTAAAAGTTGCAATAAACGGATGTATAGTGCTATTTAGGGGAGGAGGAGAGGGGCATATAGGCGTACGTATTCGAGGAGTTTGTTCTACAACGTAAGGAGACATGTAGTCCAATAATCGACGGAACGTGTTTGCTCCTAATGAATCTCTCGGGCTGTTATCGACTACCTCTTAGGAAGCATTACAATCACTTAACCTTTCTTGATTATTGTCTTGTCAAAACACTTTTTCAAGGTCCTCTCTGCGTCTACATCCAAGATGACGGCAACCGACTCGGAGAAGTCTGTGGATTGGCCAGCTGCCATCTTGGACTCCTGACGTAGGTGGACCCTGGGCGAGAGTTTGATCCATTCTCAGTCAGATGATAGAAGAAGCCTTAATTTTAGGCCTCACGGAAAGATACCCCACCCATGGAAACCGTAACCCCCTGAAATCTCAGACATGCGTAGGTTACATTACTTTGTAACACTGCCTGATAAAAGGAACGCGGGCTCATGCCGAGGGTTGTTTACATCAAAGTTGCAGATTTGTGTTAATTAATTGCCGGCCGACTCGCTGACGAGAACTCCTGATGGCTCGTAAAAGACCACACGGCAGCCAGTTTTCTGGTAAAAATCAGCCACCAGCCAAAAAGAAGCTGAGAAAACATGAAGATTATTGTGAAAAAGTTGAAAAAAAAAGAGTTGCGGTGCAAGTTTGCAACTTTTTAAGTGAAGAAAAAATCGATCGACTCAAGAGAGAGTGCAAGAGTTTGAGGTCTGAAAACGCCAATCTAAAAGGAACAGTCAAAACCTTACGAAGCAGTATAGGTAAGTGATATTATTTCAGGAGGGAATGGAAATGCAGACTTGCAAATGTCTAAGAATAATACTGCAGATTGCCTGAGCCACGAACTACGGTGAATGATTTTCATTCCCATTCTGAATTCTTGGCGGTTTTAACTTACGCGATCGCTAATGACACTATTTTAAGAGGATTTTAATCAGAAACCGATAATACTCCCACCGAACAGAAGCAAAAAAAAAAAACTCGAAAATAAAGACAAAGTAGTCGATATGGCTGCATGGTCAGTATTTTCAGGCTTTTTCTTGCTTAACTATTTGGAGCGGCGATTAACGTAAGGGAGGTAGTACGCGCACTCAAAAGCGAAAAAATTAAACTGCGGACTAGATTCCCTCTAAAGGTTCGTACCTAAGAAAAGAAATGTACAGAGAAGTTTTTCGGTCAGCAGATCATAAGGACGCGTATCTTTGAGTGTAACACAGTATCGAGAGTTTTACGAGTGAAGTTTTGAGGCTTGTGTTAGAAGTTTTTATCAACATGAACAAAATTTATTAAAGTTCACACGGCAACCAGGTGGACAATCAGACATAGTTTGAAGCTACACTGGTTTGCAGATTTAATGAATGTAACCGAAGAAGTTACAATTCATAGACCCAACGTTTCGACACTCCTATCTAGTGCCTTCATCAGGGGTGATCTCAACGCTGCAACAAGAGGTCCTTTTATATGATCACTAATTAGCGGCCTTTTTTCTGACGAGGTGTAAATAAGCGTCAGGAAGCAGACCGCCATCGTCACGATTTAAAGGAGCGTGGGCGGAGTTAATGTGCCAAGCCTCCAAACAAAGGCGCTGGTGGTAACGCCGATTAGTAGTGATAATTTTAGAATTATCCCACCCAATTGTATGGTTGGTTAGGCAAGTATGCTCCGATAAAGCTGAATTTTCCTTTTTGCAAAGAAAATAATTTTGTCGCCTGTTGTTGGGAATACTGATTACACTGTCAAAAATTCCTGCGAATTTACGGATTTCATAAGAGATAAAACTCTTGACGCTTGTGAAGAATTAGTATCTTTCGACG